GGTTAGACACTGACATCTAATCTCAGTGTCTCACTTATTTAGGAGTAAGTGGGAGGAGCCCCTTTTCCTCTCTTTCCATGGCAAAGGAGAGGAAGCTGAGAGACCTGGATTTAGACTACAGTTTAACCTCAATTTTCTAAGTGACAGAAGGAAGAGAGTCTTATATAATTATCTAAAACACTGAATTAAATAGTGTAGGCACAAGACAAATTGCCTAATGTATATTGGACACTGTTGCTTTGTTTCTGGTGATAGTTAATATTTTTATAGAGTGTTTGCTGTGTAGAGATGACTATGTCAGAATCCTATCTGGATCTTCTCATTTAATCATTATAGCAGACCTAAAGACAGGATAGAGATGCTCCATAACTTGCCTAGGAGGACACTGTCATCCTGTCAAAGCTGACATCTGATTCCAATAAGTCTGAATCACAGCCATTTAACAAGTAAACGACCCAGGGATATGCTTTCTTGAAACCATAAATTGATAATAATACTTTGTTGCCTACACTTATCAAACCTTTATAACTTAGAACTGAAGGACTTGGAGAAGTGATTCTCAACTCATTCATGCAGAGACTCCCCAGCTGGTTTCATGACTTTAAGAGTGAAAGTGATTTAAAAAAAAAAAAACAGCTTAAGCCACAGGTATATGGAAAAACAGAACTTCATTTATTTTTCTCTATAATGCTATCTAATTTTTTTAAAGTCCCATGCCAGTGGGTATCACAACAGAGTCGACTCCAAGTGATCACGAACAATTAAGACTCTCACTTCTCTGTCATCCCTGCAGTTGCCTCCACATTGTTCTTCACCTGTGGGCAAAGGTAAGAGCTGGTCCTATGTGGCCCCCGGTCCCCTCTTCTCTACTGAGAAGTATAGCTTCCTCCTGACCTCTGACTGATCCTCACAGGTGTGGCTCCATTTCTATGACCGAGCCCCTCTCATTGGAACAGGACAAATTCACACTTTCCTATGGCACCTTTGTCACCAGGGGAGATGCTGACATGTTCTACCTCAGCTTTTCTCCAGGGCTTAGCCACAGACCACAGCCATTTGCTCTTTTTAACAGACAGAATACAAGGGGGTGGCATATGTCCATAAAGCTGGTCGCCTTTCTCCACTCCACTTGGGGAAGTGTGGCTGATTCTACTTTCAAGAATCTCAAGCAAGTAACTGTCTAATATTTTAGACCCCCAAAGCGAGAGGTCCAGCTCTGAAGCAACTGTCAATTGCTGCAGGGTAAACTCTCTCACCATGACCAGTTTCAAGTTATCAATGTAAAAGCACTAAGGTGGAATCAAGAAGAGATGACACCACGGACTCCCCCAAATAGCTGACTTACTGCCCTAACAAATGTGTCACCCTCACCCAACCAGCACAGCACAGTGGAGTTGCAGGGAACCTGCCACCACTTGTTCACCCTTCTTCCCATTTTCATTCCCAGTCTTGTGGGTTTTACTTTCACAGAGGCTTAGAAATTGCTAGGGTTATTTCCAAAAGATGAAAAATATTAACAAAAAATGAGAAATATAAAATAAAAAGCGGCCTTTATTCTGAGAACACGGAGAGAGATGACCGGCACCCCCACCGCTGGGTCCGGCAGTCTCTCCGGCAAACACGTGGCGTTGGGGGCCTGTAAATAGCCTTGGTTTGGGGTGGAACCTAATGCGGGCATTTGGGATACACAGGTAGCCCATTGGTCCTAGGTTTGGCGCCATATGTAAATTTCCAGGGGTGGGAAGATGGCGTCACAGGTAACTTCCTAGGGGCAGGGGAGATGGGGCTTCCTGCTTCCGGTTGTGGCTTTCCTGGCTACAGTGTCCTATCTGGGCCAAAACCCTTTCAGAAATATTGGCTTTGTATGATTCCATTTTTATCTTTTAAAAGTCAAATCTAAAACTGGACTCTCTAGTTATGCAATTAAAACCCTCAGGTTATAACAGATTATGTAATCTAACAGGCAGCAAAGGCATATGGACTAGTGCTGAATTAGAAAATACAAAGTTTAACCAAAATTGTCAAGTATGCGGTAGGGGGTGGGAAGAATTTATATTCACTATATCAAAATAATGCCAATATGTCACAGACATTCCACTCCCTTACCCAGCTCCCAAATCCTCTGCTGGCATCTGCCATTCATTTCCAGCCCTTTCTGTCTCCCAGTGGGTGAAGGTTGGCATGTGTTACCGCTGCAGTCCAGTAGCCCCGAGGTTGATCCTCCAGGCTTGTACACCACTGTCATAACACCTGTTTCACGTCCTAGCTACATTTTTTGAAATAGCAAAGTAATTTTTATTCCTCCAAATAGAACTGTTTGCTGGGGATAAACATTTTAGGAAATGTAACTATTATTGAGCTATAAGCATATGCTAGAATCGTGTTCAAATGCATGAAATCAAGAATCATACATTTTGAGATAATTTATGATTGTTAATCCTATATTCCATTACTAGAACTCTGAGAAGTTATCTGATCCAGGATCACAAATCTATTAAGTGGCCAACAAGTGATTCAAACATCTCCTTGTATGACCCAAAAGTTTATCTTGTACTTAAAATTAACATTTGTAATTGTTTTTTCCCCAGCTTCTTGTGATTTATTAGGATTATGAAAGAAGATCTACTGTAGAAATACTGGTGAAGATTCAATCTTTCACTCAGAGATAAATTTCCACAACTGTATTCTAAACACATTTGACTTTGTGTCATTGATACATCTGGATTTCAGGCACAAGGCAGAGGTCAAGGTAAAAGTGATCTCCAGGGTCCTACAGCCACCAGTACCTTTAATCCCCAAAAAGAATGTTCTCCAGACATCCCCTGGAGAAGCAGAAGACAAAGAGAAGTTGTTTTTTTGTTTTTTGCTTTTTGTGTTTTTTTTTTTTTTTTGAGGTAGGCAGTCTAGCAGAGGGGAAAGCATACAAGATTTGTCATAGTTTTACTCTTAATGTACAACAGAGAGCCATAGAATCTCAAAATGAGTGTATCTGTATTGTCATTAACACTGTCACGAACAGTGCTCAGGCACATACAAACCACACATGTATTACTTGTTATTATCAACTTGGAAACATAGTTAACAACGGGAACCTGACACAAGAAAAAGTAATGCTTACGGGCTATGCTATCCTTCAGAGAAGGGGGAAATGGAAATTATTTGTCACAGAAAATCTGAAAATTCATAAAGCATGGGAAGAAAAATGATCTTTCTTATATAGAATTGATCAAAAATGTCTATTAAATTATTTTATAATTATTTGCACCCACGACTTTTTAAAAGTAGGTTACTACTGAAAGATACACTGATATTAATGTGTTGCACATATTGGAAGTGAAATTGTGTGGAACGCCACTGAATTTGTACAAGGAAAAGCATCAGTGTCTTTCTAGAAACTTCTCTGACAATATTAGAGCCTTTGTCACTACTTCTAAGTTCTGCCTTTATTGTATTATCAGTTGAAGAACAGTACAAATCTCTACTACTATATGTTCTTATATTTCTTCAAATTATAAAAATAAATGTGGGCAAAAATTTTTGATCCCAATATTTTGATTTTGACTGATAAAAGAAACTGACATGGACGTACAATTTTCTCATCTCCTCTCCTCACCCCTTACCCTTGGTTCGCTGCACCCCTTCCCATCTGCAAAAGAGCCTCTCCTTCTATCCCTCTTTTATGTTTCTTTTAGTTTGTACTTTGCCTTACTCACACAAGAAATACCATATGGTATTAAAGTTTGTGTCTGATTTTCACAGCCAAATTCACAGAAATTAATTTATACGATCACGCTATACTTTCTTTGAATACTACAGCACTTCGGATGTTTCATTTCTGCAAAATTACACAATAAATAACATCTGGGTTCTTTGTAGAACCAGAGTGTTAGTATTGTCACACAACCTATTTTCAATTTTGTTTTGATTTTCCCAGCACATTAACCGTTTTGACCTAAATACTTACTTAACGGGAACACTGAATGCTAAAGGTCTCATTGTGGGCAAAATTTTCCTGAGTGAGATGTCCAAGCTGACTAAAGTTGAAGTTATGAATGCAAAGCATCTCCATTTACACTTATGTGTAGCACTTAGGTTAGTTTTTATTTTCTTCTTAATATTACAAATTAGAGTTTTGCTTAGTTCATCTTAAAAGAGAAATGATTTACAGCAAACTTAGGAAATCTTTGAGATTGCGTAGATATTCATCCAGAGACCAACTTTGCCTGTCTTCCCTTTCATCAGTAATTATCTTGGTCCTTCATCTCCACATTTTCTGACTCATAGCTGATAACATCTCTAGTTCAGGGTTACTATAATGCAGTTCACATGCATCAGATTCCAGCTTCTACAATCGCTGAGTCACAATGCTGCAGCCAGAATCATTTTTGCTTTACCACGTAACAGAAGTAGACGAATCATTTCAACATCCCTACCCCAAATTGCCTCTGTCTGAGCTGAATGTAGGTCATAAAAGATACATCTGCAATGAGATGCGCCATGATTTTGGGGTACCTTGATGCCTGTGTGACAGATTTACACTTAGCTTCCGTGAAACATGTCTTTTATTTCCTATTACTTAATAGGAACATGCCATTATAAAAAAATATTTTGAAAAGCATACGTGAAACACCTTTATAAAGTTTATGCTATTCAATCTCAAAACTAAATTGCTAAGCTATTATCCCTATCTGCAAGATGACAGCACAAGCTCAAAGTTTCAAAGACTTCCTCAAAGTGAACTTGAGACCACAGGTTACTATAACTCTAAAACCAGTGGCTTCTGACTACCCAAATATCACAATCCCCTGTAAGGTTATATGTACAGATTTCCACCATATTCTACAGGTCTGTCCTGGATAGCTTCCCTCTATAAGTCTACCACCTGCTGCTTGTGGTTCATTTTTATTTTCTAGGTGGATTTCAGTCAAGAAAGCAAACCACCAAATGATTTTATTTGTATAAACCAGAGACATGAATGTTATAATGTTATAGCAACATACCTTTTCTTTTTATCTCCTTTCTAAAGCAGTTTGTTTGTTTCATCAGGCAAATCATGGAAAGACCAGGAAACAAATGATGTAGTGGCTGCAGCTGTGGACTTGCAAATTGCCTCTAGGGGGTAGAGAGGAGAAACTCTGATTTATAGCATCTGATTTCATTCCCTCCATGATCAGTTTTAACCTATTGATACTTTAACAACCTGTTCACAAAAGTCCTAAGCATTAAACAACGGACCCATGGGGGCTGGGGATTTAGCTCAGCGGCATAAGTACCTGCCTTGTAAGCAGGCAGTCGTGAGTTCGATCCCTGGTACCGATAAAAAAACGAAAAAGACAAAAAAAAAAAAAAAAAAAAACAACGGACCCATGAGCCAGTTCCAGCATGCAACAGTAGAATGTCCAATGGAGAAAGCAAATAATCTCCCAGCATAATCTAACTTTTTTTGGTAGTGATTTGAGTTGGTGTGAACATCTGAAACATCACTCTGTTTTCAACAGACTTACAAAATTGTTCCTAAGACTTGATTTCACAGTTTTAAAGGAAATGCTCTGCTAGGACTATGGGGCCTAATGAAGCCATGAATGACACTAGTGGATGGAGCACTTGTTGAAAGAGAAATGGATGCCATCTTTAGGATGACTACTCTTTCACTCTTACCGCCATGGGACAGGGATTGCAGGATGGGAGAGCTGACCGTGCTCGAGAGCACCAGGGAAGGAAACAGCAAATAGGATTCACGGAAGTTTGGCTCTGAGCCTGAGCGCAAATGGGTCTTTCTGGGCCTCTGCTCACCACAGAAGACATGTTGAGATTAGAGATCAAAGCCAACACTAGCATTAGAGTCCATGAGCACAGAGCTAAAGAAACCAATGGCTGGATGTAAGCTGAGGGCAAGCTGTGACCAGGGATCACAGTTTGATCTGTCCAGTGGCAACTGTTCTGCCTGGAGTAGCCTTTATGCAGCACAGTCACCGTGGAACACTGATTATGGCAGTCTGACAAACACTGATCCCTGAGCATGTCAACACAACCACTACTCACTGCATGCAAAAGAATCAAAAGCATTTTTCAAAACCAAGTATGATTCTAGGGTCACCTACTATTTTATGTTTCTTTTGCTAAGCTTCCAGAAGTCAGGATAAAAATGTACATGAAATGATACAAGCTATGTAATCTGTCCTGGAGCTCCTTGGATAGCTTACCTCAGCATGGTTCTAACCTTAAAAGGATAAATTTGTTTTGAAACCTAACCGATTTTCATTCTTCTTAAATCCACTTGTACAGTGATTGTGAGGACACTCAGTTTTCCTGATTAGGAAGGCAGCTATTTCCCTTCCAAGAAAATGAAGTGAAAAATCAACAGCCAAATGAGTCAACCAGAAAGAATTCAATCATCATAGGTCTTAAATTTTAGCAGAGACTCCAGAAACAAATGTAGGGGGATTTCAAGTAAGATTTAGATTTAATTCACCAGCTCAGAACTCTTGAACCAATCATTCAGCCCAGTCTGTTTTCCCATCCACAAACGGGAATTTATGCTATCTTGCACAGCAGTATTTCGTACCATGTACTAAACACGTTTATCGTGTTATCCTTAATTATCAAAATCAACCTTTAAGAATTAACTTGGAATTCAGATTCCTATGGGATCCCGAGATGACACCAAAAATTAACATGTAAAGACTTCCATGCATGTATGTGTATATGTGCATTTTTATTCAGGCCCTCAAACAGGGAAATGCTGAGTATTTCAGTATCTGGGGAGATGACAGAGGTGGGGGTGGGTAAAAGGGCATGTGTGCATTTTCAGAAAACCTTCCATTGTGACTTTGATATTCACCCCTCAGTCCAACTTATGAGATGCAAATTTAGACAGTTTGTAGTGTTGATGTGGGCATATTGTAGACATATACACAAAGTAGGTGTTAAGGAAAAATTAAAGGTTTAATTTCTTCAGTATTTTCCAGAGAAATGAAAGCATGTCTATAACAAGGACTCACACACAAGTAGGAACAGCAGTTTTATTAATTTAGTCTCAAATTGCAAATAACACAAAGGTCCACCAGTTGGGGGAATAAATGAGAACATACACAACAAAACATGAATGATTTTCAAAAAATATACTTAGCAAAATCTAGGTCTAAAAGATGATTTCATTTTCTAACATTTTTCCAAAGTAATCTTACAGACAGCCAGTTAACAGCAGCCTTAAGGAATAGGGTGAAAAGCCTGATTACAAAGGGAAATATCAATACTTTCAGGGGTGACTGAAGTATAACTTGATTGTGGTATTAGCTTCACAGATGTCAACATCTGTCCAAACTCATCAGCTACACATTTAACAATCCCAATTAACTCAAAAGTATCCCTTAGTAAAGGTGGTAAAAACTGAATTAACAATCACAGCTCTTCAATGCTAACAAATCTCATGAGACAGCTCCGTTTCTAAGACTACTTACCCATCAATTCAATTCATGTTCTTTGAATTACTCTTCTAGTACAAGTGAATGAACCGTAATGAGTCCTCAACACTATTGCCCCATCCCCACTCCCTGCACCAGTTTTTAAGACAGGTAGTCAGCGGTATACTGCAGTTAAATCATCAGACAAGAAAGACAACGGGATCATGACCTTGCCTCGTGAAAACCGTACCCTCGTCTAACTGACACCTGGTAGACCAACTTCAGGTATGATTCACTATAATAGGCACATCCAGATAGTAGTCTGTACTTTAGGGGACGTAGATGGAAGTTAACACACAAGCCCCTGAAAGTCTGCTATAATTTCTTTACTATACACAGATGGTCATTGAAAACTGTCCTAGTCAACTAAACTAGCCAGCTTCCTAAAAGGAAGAAAATGATTACTATCTTGAAGCTTATTCAGGGACAATTAAATTCCAAATTTATTTTACAACCAATATACCTCAGAAAACATTTGTCTAGAAGATAATTTATGTTCTAAAATAGTTATTTCATAATTACAAACTTTTATTTCTGTTTAGTGTCTCAGTAAAATGTGTTCTTTATGAACGTATTATTTCAAAAGATTAATAGAATATAAGCAAATATTTGTATGCTTATAGTTCCTTACAACCTCAGATGAGATTTAACAAACTTACTGTGAACCAATGATTTGCAAAAGCACTTTAGATGAAATCAGAAGCACTTTAGAAGTATTAATATTCTGTATCTTTTATCTTCAATACTTTTATGTATAATAGTAAAAATCTTATGTTTTATAAAATTCCTTATTTTTAGAAATAAATTTAGTGTGATTTGTAAAATAGAGTAAGACAATGGAATATTCTATGAGTGGATATAATCAAAAACTGTGTCAAATGTTTTAAAAATGAGCCTGCCTTAAAAATTCTGTTAGTCCATTTACATAAAAAAAACCTGTAGCCTTAGCTGTATTGCATTTCACAGCTACAACAGAATTACAACTTTTGACTGATCTGACCTCAGTAGAATAATTCTAAAAGATAACTGCTCCGTATAATAACTTTCTGGAGAAGACAAACACACTTAAACAACGTTTATTTCAAAACATCTACAAAGTTTTAGTTCTCCATTATACAAATAATGTTTCAAAATCCAGACATTATTCAAATGTAACCCAAAGGTATTATACAAATAGCATACACACAAAGATCAAAAATATATATATATACTCTCTCACCAAACTGTGTTACACAAATAAAAATATATACAGCTGGGAATTTCAAAGTACAATTATCTTAAATAGTGCTACAGCCATATACAGAAGGTACAAAAATAAACACTAATGGGAAAGTTAAAGGAACAATAAACTCATTTTGACATCTATAAAGATACAAAAAAACCAATCTGGTTTAATTTTAGTTCACTTCTCTTTAAAATATTCTCAGAATGGGAGAAATTCACAACTCTGCCAGTTATACCTGACCCCTAATACAGAAGAAAAAAATATGTGAAGAACTATACAATCTGTGTTGCTGTATTTTGGGATAAACGTAAAAGAATTTTTAAAAATTGAATTTGTATAAGTCTAGGTTGAGATTTTCCAAGTAAAATGAACTATTGAAAAAACTCAAGTAATTTAAGTTGGAAATACCAGAAGAAAATTCAAACACTTAAAAACTCTTAATACAGTAATCAATAAAGAAAAATTATGTCAATGGTTCAGTGAATTAAAAAAAAAACAAATTTAAGTAGTTTTATGTTTTGCCCCAAAAATTCTCCTTTCTTTTCTGAGCCCGTGTCAGAGTTTGAAAAGCGCGGAGACTAGAAGCTGCAGAGCGAGCAGAAATCTCGGACAGTCTGTCCTCATCTGTAATAGAAGAATCCCAAAATCATACTGAGGGCCAACATATTTCCTAAACAAATATTATGCTCTACATAACATTAAAGAGACTAAAAGTATCAAGCCTTATAATATCAATGTTGGGTATATCAGAAAAATATCCATTCAATGTAAAATTTTTAACATTTTCATATTTCATTGTAATTTTCCAAGTTTTATCATATATAGGTAAGTGAGCAGTTTTCCATTTTGAAATCCCATAATGTTATTACTGAAGCTTACGATTTCAGTATATTCAGAGACAGAACATTTTGAATTTCCCTACTTTCAAAAGTAATTACTTGGGTCAAAAGGTTTTTAAAATTTTTAAAAACAAAATGCTCTACCTTAACTGGCATTTATATTATGTTTCTAAAATAATCTCATGTAATACAGAAGCTATCCTTATTACTGAAATTCCCTATTCTGAGTAAGCAAATCTATTATAAGTTTATTTATAATCACTGTTCTTTCCCTTAAAAAAACAGAACAAGATTCAAAGTTACCAGATACTTTGAATTTGAAAACATAATCCCTTAATTTCTAGTCTCACTGAATCATGGGGGGGAAAACCTCAGACTTCTTAAGTAAGAGAACACTTTTAATATATGTACAGTATTTAATATATAAAATATCAAATTCAAATTTATTTCCCAATTTTGATTGTTCCTGTAAAAATTCAAAATTCTTATTATTAGAAGCAAATGAACATACAAAACAAAATCTATTTTCCTAATTATATAATTTTGGGCATACTGCAAATTGATAAAAATACAGATATTTGGAAAAATATTTCTATGTTCCTGGAGTCCCTAAGCTCAATAGAGCAGAAACTCAGAAAGTGTCCGAGCACTGCTGAGAGGTAAGATGCAGTCTCTGAGCATGTTTCCCTACGAAAAACTTCACCACTTCTGAGTTTACTCTCTTTTAAACAGGGATAATTTCACCCCAACACAGCACTTCAAGGCTCTAACAAAAAATGTGTGGACATACTCTTTAAGCCATGAAGTGCTAACCAAAGATAAGAACGTTCACAATTATGAACTATCTTATAACAAAATGTCATGGTTTTGTTTTTGTTTTTAGTATCTTACATAACTACTAAAATACCTTCATTGTTAAAGGCTTCATGCTGAGGTAACTGGAAATTTTTCATCTTTGCTTTTCCCACTTGAAAAAAAAAAGGCAGAAAAAAAATTATCCTTCAAAGCCACCAAAGAGCATGTAGTAATCATATGGTCTGAATGTCTGTCCCTTCAACATTCATGTTGAAACTGAACCGTCATCGAGATGGCCTGGGATGGAACCTTTCAGAGATGTTCAGGCCACAGAGCTTTGCCTGCTTTTCCTCTTCCTCCCGCTTTTGCTTCAGTATGCCAGGGAATGCTGCAGCAGGAAGGCCTGTGCCCGACACAGCCCCTTTACCCAGTGTCTCCCAGCCTCCAGGACAGTAAGGCCATGCATTTCTATTTGTAATGCACTGCCCAGTCTGGGGTATTATAATACAGCAGCACTAGACAGACTAAGATAATTACAGTAATCTTCATAAAAGTTACAGGCTAGGGATTTAGCTCAGCAGCCTAAGCGCCTGCCTGGTAAGCACGAGGTTGTAAGTTCAAACCCCGGTACCAAAAAAAAAAAAAAAAAAAGAAGTTAATACCAAAGGACCACTCATTAATTTTTAGTGTACTTAGCAAGTATGAAAACTATAAATAACTTCCTAGAATTCAATGTTAATACTGATCTAACTGTAAAGAAACGTAGTACACTACTCTTCGGAGATGACAGATTAAACATACACATTCATAAAAGTTATATAAAGTCATAAGACAAAATGAAAAGCAAGAAAACAGTACGAAATTTTTAGAAAATGAAAAAACTGGAATGAGAGGAGCCTGTAGTGACACCCAAGAAAGCTGAATTTTACACCAGCAAATAAGTGAATCCAAGATGACACTAAGTTGTTCCCCTCATGGCATGGGTTCGGAAGTACTAAGTCTCGCTTGAACCAGGGACCTGCTTGAAAATCTTTACAAAACAGGCAAGACACTCGATTCTTCTCTAAATTTACACACATGAACAACTGCCTCTGTCTCAAAAAGAAGTGGAGGTCTTGTCTCTAACAGCTTCTTGGAACTAGTATGAGTGGGTACCAGGTTCACCAGAGAGCAGCAGTACATGTTCAAAACATACACACATATGTCATAGAAATATATACGGTGCATCTCTTCAAAGAGATAAAACATTCCATCCCTGGAATAAGAATGGGATGCTATATAAAAAGTTCGCAGTATTAAAAAGTTCTTAGAAATTAAAAATATTATAGAAAATTTTAAAAAGAGATAAAATTAACCCTTTCAAATTAATACAAAAGGCAATAGAAGAATGCAAATTAAAACACGTGGACAACAGAAAAAAAAATAGGAAATCATGCCCAATTATGTCTAACATCTTAGTGATGGCAGTGCCAGAAAATAGAGGGGAAGAAATTACTAGCAAAGAAAATTTCCCAGAAGTACAAATTTTCCAGACTGAAAGGTCTACAGAGTACCAGTGAAATGAGTGCGAGAGGCCCACTTTGAGACACAGAGCACTGTAACACATCAGAGTACTGGGCCAGAAGAGAAAAGCCCAAAGCTGTCAGCAAGAAAAATGCTATACAAGAGACAACATAAAACAGCACATATCTTCTCAGTGTTAACAGTGAGTGTAGCAAACAGCAAAGCAGTGCTAATAAGTAAAGAAAAACCACCTCTGATCTTGAATTCTACACACAGGCAACACTGGGCACTGGCGAGAGACACTGGGTGCTCATGCCTGGAGGGGGTGCCACCTCTCTCCAGTGGGGTTCCCATAGGTGTGTACTAAAAACTTGAGAGACACCTCACACTTCTGTAAAAGTGAAAAATGTACTTGGTGCAGCACAGTGTCCTATGGAGGGTTGTTTTTTTTTTTTTTTTTTTACTTAAAGATCTATTAAATTAACTAAAAACAAATATAACTTATTAATATATAATATATTCTTATTGCATTTTACCTATCAGTGTCACACTTTCAAAAGTCAAAAAGTTAAAAGCAAAAGCAAAGAAAACTACCATTATGTTGAAATTCTGGATCCCTCAGAGATCCCTGAATCCGACGAGCAGGATGCCAGAAGGATGGAGTGCACGGCAGAGAAGGCAGCTGTCCTTGGCTGTTTGTTGGATAGTCCAGAGCTGTTGAAACTGGAAGAGTTGTCTCAGCACATCTGGGGATACTGCCATCAGAATCTTCCCGTAAAGGCAGAGGATCAACTGTTTTTATACCAGCAGCAGGAGAAGTCAGTAGGGATACAGCACGGCTTCCTTTCTAAATGACAAAAAGATACATACATGTTTGCGCATATATAAAGAAGCCAAACATTCAAATAAAAACAAATAACAGGAAATATGAGGAAAATGTATGAAACCTTCATGGAGGAGTAGGTAGTGGTTATAAAAGCATCACAACCAACATTAACAGATTTAACTGGATAAAAACAAAGAACATCAACATTTTTAAATTTTAAAAAATGACAAATTTGGGGAAAATATACGATGTATATGATTGACAACACATTAACATCATTGCTACATAAGTATTTCTTTAAAAGTAGTAAGAAAAACCTAACAGCTTAAAAATAATATAAATAAGCAATTCATACATACACAAATATAGTTAATATGTTCTACTTCAGTAGTACTCAGATCATTACAGAACAAAAGCACTGAGGTACCAGCTTCTTACTTACCAAACTGCAAAAGTTTTAAAAATAATAATACCCAGCACTGGCAAAGATGTAGAAAACTGGCACTCTCTACAGATTTATTAAAAGCATAATGTTTCCAGGGAGCCAACAAAACAGCAAAAGGTTTAAAAATGTGTGTCCTTTCACCTTGCATTGATGCTTAGAGCATATTTAAACAAGAGGAGAATAATGTGAACCAAAAATGTAGCCAAAGAATTGACTTCTTTTAGAGTATCTTTTCAAAATAGAAAAATTTAGAAGTAATAAATCTGAATAAAAATTAAGGATAAATAATAATATTTGGCTAAAGAATTTCCATACTATAGATTACACATCATGTTAAAAGTAAGATATAAATGATATTTAATGAAATGAAAATGAGTTCAAGATAGGGTTAAGAAAAATAGATCATGAAACCTAATCTACAATATAATAAATACACTGATAGACATACATAGAAAAAGGCCTCAGACAACAGTGGATATCTGTTTTCTTTTATTAGTGGTCAGTATTTTCTGTTTTCCAAATGACAATAATAAATCAGAATCCTCAAAATTCCTAACGATTTTACTCTCTAACAGAATATAAATTCGTAAAATTAAACACAACTGCAAACTTCCCTGATCATTCCCTCTAACTACTGCCTTGACTTGATTCTATCAATGCAACACTAAGAACATTGCTTTCCAACCTTAAGTATCATGCCCTGCCCTTGGAGAGCTTCAAAGAAGAGATGGCCTGAAGTCTCAGTGAACACACACACACATTTTAAATCAATGGCTAAACCACAAGTCTTCCATTTGTCTCCCTTTTTACTATAAATACCACTTAGTATAAATATAATATGAATAGTTCTAAAGGGAAGTTGTTTTATGTTTTTCTACACATATCAAAAGTTTGGTATCTCCATCAAACTGGTTAAAAAGGCCTGAAGGAGACCTGCAAAATACTGAGTTCCTAGGTTTTATATACGTGATTGCAATGTCTGCTTCTGAGTCTAAAGCCTCCTTGCTGGCCTCACTGGCTCCACTCTGCCCTCTCACGGCATGGCCACCGTGAGTTGATGTGCTCCATAAGTCAGGTCCTATTTGCTCTGCTGGAGAACATCTGCATTTTCATCACAGCATTTCCCACTATCTGAAGTTATCTTTCTAAAAAATTATGTCTGTCTCCTAATGAAAATGGAGGGTTCATGAAGGCAGATTTTGTCTTAATCACTAATGAATCCAAAACCCTAAAATGGGCTGCAATATACTAACAGCCCATTAAATACTGAGTTGAATGAATGAAAATGAAACCCCTATTTCCCTCCAAAGAGGGCCCAGATTTTTGCCCTCAGTGCACAGCACCCCCTTAATCCTCTTGGAAAGCCAGGGATTTAGGAGTCAGCCATGTTCCCAATGTTTTAAACTGTTCAGTGGTTTCCCATTGCTCTTGAGACAACGCCAGAAGTTCTCAATGTTGCTATCTTTTCTAACACATGTTGTTGCACTGTCCTCTCTGGTACACAGGGTACTTACTAGTGTTTGTTTTCTTTTTTCTAGAGGATCTTGGCACATGATACATTCCTCCTCCCCATCCTTATTACATGGTTAGAACATCTGCTTTCTCTGTATCTCGGGTGAATTATGACTTTTTTTAAGAAGCATTCTTGATTTCCAGAACCTTCTTCCTGGCGTTCATTTGGCCAGTTCCTTCTAGAATAGCACTAAGAACTTTGCTATTAGTTTTCAACATAGTGTTTTTAACACTATGGTGATTAACATCTACCACCTAGGTAAGTGGGTAAGAAACATCTCCTGAATGAACAGCCAACATTTGAAAATGCTCTCCTGAATGAACAAATCAATACTGTAAGAGCTCAAAACATGCTCAATAAAAAATACTGCTGCTCTTCCCTCCCTTCCTGTGGAGTCACTCGCATCATCTGGAAGTTTAGCAGCAGCACTACATTGCCACTACCGGGAAAAAAAAAAAGAAACAAAAACTCAACACATTTTCCTTACCAAAAGTAGGTCAACAGTAGCATCTCCACAAGGATAGGCATAATTTTCTAAAATCTGAAGTATTTTTTTCAAACCTATGTTTTCTAAGACAGTGACTAAAATAGCTCTCAAAGAAGATGCTTTTCCCTCAAATATAAACATTTACCTTAGTAAAATCATTCTTTGGAGTTCCTATGCCACCCTGAGAAGACATTTTTCTCCTCTGCTCTGAGATTGGAGGCTTTATCTTTGATGGGGACACTAAAACAGCTCCACCTGGAAAAATGCAGAGGTCGGGTTTCAGTCAAATTAACTCAGACAGAAGAGGTAGAGTAAGAACTGCCTGGTGTTTGCCCATTACCAATAGCTGGAGTAGTGAGGTCATGATGAGTCCTTTGGATTCCACCAAGTTCTCTCAGCTTCGGAGTAGGAAGCCTGCCTCCTTTCCCTGACGATACAGAAGAGTCTGACCTGCAAGTGGAAAAAAAATCTATTAGGAAGCATTTCCTCCAAAAAATGTAATCAAAAGTACCTTGTCAACATTGTGAAAGGTACAGCATTTAAGGAAGGCAATTTTTTTTCTGAAAAAATAAACCGATATGCAGTTAAAAGGGACTAAGTGATGGAAAAGGAGGGCAATCACTGCCGGTTAGCAGCAGCACAGCTGAGAATGCTTCCATTAAGCCAGGGGCCAATCTCTGCACTAGTCTCACCCACCATGAAGGAAACAGGATTTGGACTCTATCCGAAAGGTTACCAACGGTCAAGAACCAATTTGCAAAGCAATCTACACATAAGATAAAAAGAATTAGCTATTTCCAGAAATCACTTTTTTAAAAATACTAAAAACAATGTATTACTTTTAGTAAAACTATCAGATATTAATAAAGACTAGCTTTTTGCCCTCACAAAAAGTCATTCATCTGGACACATCTGCAAATCTGGCAAATCATAATTACAAGACCTGAGTGAAAATAACCCTACTCCCTCCCCTAGAAGCCCAGTGTTTAATTACCAATTAGCAATGACTCAAATATCTCAGTGGACCAAATTATAAACCATACAGCAGTGCCCACTTTGTGACGTTAAGGTAAAATCTTATTAGTCATATAACTAAAAGTGTAAACCACTGTACTTAATGACAAAACAAAATACATTTTAGTCATGCACAGTGATACACTGAGAATGTAAAGCCCTCACCCTTCTGCGTTGTCTGCCTGAGATTTCTTGTGGATGTCCAGTTTCTCTAGCTCTTCCACATGAACTGGTTTGTCACTTCCTCTTTCCTCCTCCTCTTCTTTCTCCTCTCTGGGCTGCTTCCGCGTGTCTTCATCGGTGTTCTCTGCACCCCAAGCCAGCTGCCTCCTAACAGGGAGGGTGGGAGGCTCTGACACATCCAGTTTCTCCATGGTGCTTTTCTGGGGCTGTTCTTCCAAAATCTCTCTTTTTTCTTCTGGTTTTGTAGGAAGGCATTTCTGCAAAGTCTTATGGCTTGTGGGATCCCTGAATTATAAAGTAAGTTTCATTTTAAATTTAAGTAGTTTGAGTTTTCTAGTTTAATTTTAGTGAGCTCATCACTTCCTTCCACTGTTCACAATCCCCACTGCTTTGTCCATATATTAAAGAAATCAAATTCAGTTTATCATACAGTATAATAAAAGTACAATGTGGAATTTCTATTAAAATAGTTCCAGAATGTAATTTTCTTCCTTTACTCCTACTCTCATATGAACATACTTGTGCCTCTAATGACAAAAGCCATACTTAGCATCAAAACTGGCATGCACATGCACAAACTAGGACCCATAAGCTATAACTCAGTTACTACAGTGATATTTGTACACAAAGTCATGTATTGGTGGCTAAACATACTGATTCAAGCTTTATACTTTGGACTCATTTTTTTCACATTAAAAAACACATTTTGTGATTTTAAATGAGATCACAATTGAATTTGGAAATTTGGTGTATACAACTATAACAACTGAATACTGTTTTATTTGCTACAAACCACTCTGCGCATAGTTAAACCACTTTACAACACAAAATAGCATAGAATTTTCCCATAAAATCAGAGGCCAACCTCCACGAGCCACAAAATCCATTAATGAATTATCATAGAGATCTACGAACAGCTTGCATTTTCTGAGTTTTGCTACTCTCTTTTCTTCTTTTTAAAGTCCTTTTACTTCTACTTTCTGCTGTGTATGAAAAAAAAGTCCTTTCACATCTACCACATCTTTCTACTGTGATTGTTACAAAGAATATTATAAAATCCAGTCTTCTGAAGTTTCACTATGTGTTGTTTATATATAAATTATAGAGTATATATAATTTTATTTCCTAGAGGATAAATTAAAAATAATAAATATGTGGCTGACATCTTCACTTGACCAAAATACAAGTTCTGAGTAATCATGGTATGTTCCTGTATCGCTCCATGGTACACATAAGCTACAACACGCATCTTCACATTCACAAAGAACATCTCACCTAGCAAGATCTAATGCTTTGATGTTGCTGCTAATGCTTCCTTCTGAGCTAGTAGTTGAAGAGACATCCCAACAGTAGTTCTTATCAGACAAAATCTGATTCAGATGGTCCCGAGAAAAATGTGTTCCCTGAACCCGTTTCCTGTAAAACTCAGCTTTTTCTCTGAGTTCTTTAACCTACATGGGAGAGAAGACATCATCTATTATTGTAAATGCTCTTTCACAAATATTACCAACTAGTACATCAAAGAAACTTCACAAATACAGCCAGAGACCAAGAAAAAAGGAAGGCAAAAATAGCCACATACAGTCATCAGACTATGTGCATTTAAGCAGAAATTAAAATAAGCTAAAGCAGGATGCAGTTATTTTATTTCAGATCAGCAGGCAAGAGAAATTCATAGCAGCTAAGACAAATATTGACATATTTTTTCTCCAACTGAAATTACTCAAATATTCTATGCATTTGTACAAGTTTTTAAAAGCTCAAAAGCAACCAACCTCTGCATACCACATGGCATTTAGAGAACCCTAGGGGAGGAATACAGAAACACACTTAATGACAGGTTAATATCATAACTGAACATTAACGGGAATCAAATACTGTACCATATTATTTCTCCTTCTAAACACACAATAAGTTTGTCAATCAATATTTCTTAGTATGTTTAGTAAATTTAATGGAGGTAACAAAGATAATCTTAATATTACCTTGCAAATCACCCACATTTTTGCATAGCTGGAATACTGAAGATGACTATTCCTACTTTTCCACTTCTAAAAGAGTACTCACAGGGCAGTAACTCCGAGCGTGCCTTTTTCTTGGCTTTAACTACAGATGCTTCTGCTACCTAGAGAAGTCCCCAAGAAACAGCTGTGATGCTTCCCTGTCCAAACCCCTCATATTCCCATGGAATCAGTAAAACCTCAACTTTTGAATAATGTATTAAATATATAATTAAGAAGAAATTTGCACAAAATAAAAATTTTAGTATATTAAACAAGGTGATGGGATGTAACAAAAATTCTGATGAGCGATAAGGTCATTTGAATTCCCTTACTGCAAATAACATTTTTATATGAAAAAGAAACATCAAACCATTTAAAATCTTTTATTTTATACATCATACTGCCACCTACTGGCTTTTCTAAGTACAGCTCTACAATGCTAAAAAAAGATATTTTATCATTAAAATTCTTAAAATCTTTCTTCTTGACAAAACTCTATATTTTCTATCATAAAGGTAAACTACTAGCACTAAAAAGATACCAGGACACTGTGCTAGACCATACTTGCTTCACTTAAAGGGAAAAAGCAAATAATGAAACTTGATGGTGTGAAAGCAGTTGGATAATTATCCTTGGCTCCTTACAAGACACTATTTTGAATGTAAAGGGATTGGAAGTGCTACACTCCAGAGAAATAGTCATCGTTTGCTCTAAATGAACCAAACCAAGAAATAATCCTACAGGATAATCTGAAATATTTTCTTCACTTCCAAAAATATAACTGTCCTATGCTCACTTATCATTTGTAATAATTCTTGTACTTCCAAATAAAAGCTCTAGCTAATAGGTTTTTGGTTTTTTGGGTTTTTTTTTTGTTTTTTTTGTTTTTTTTGTCTTTTTCCTTTTTATCGGTACCGGGGATCGAACCCACGACTGCCTGCTTGCAAGGCAGGCGCTTATGCCGCTGAGCTAAATCCCCAGCCCCTATTAGTACTCTGAATGCATGCAAACCTTGTTAAACAGTGTCTGATATTTCTAGTGTCTTTTATTTCGTGTAAGTGCCTGAATGTTTCAAACATCACATGGCCACTCCGTCGCTTCTATGAAATCTGTATGCTTTAGCATCACTTGCTCTTCTGTGTTCTCAAAATCCTCTATTAACCTATGAACTCCTCAAGATGAGGTGAAATACAGCAGTTAAGAATTGATTCCATAACCTAATTAAGAAGTAGGCCTGAACTAGACAGCTGGCTGCCAAAGATAAGCAAGAAACTCCCTTGTATTTAATGAGCTTACAGTCCAGTAGAAGACCTTTGCCTATACCTGAATACTATACTTCCGATACCATCCCCACTTAATAAACAAGACGCAAACTGAAGGAGAGGATCAAAAGGGGTCTAATCAGGACTACTCTGTGTGGTGGGCAGCAGAGGAAGAGCAACAGAGGAGGGGCATTCCACCCAAGTAAGAACACCTTATTGCTTGACAAGTGAGAGAGGAACAAAGAACCCCTCTACATACAGAATTTTGCTATCAATTATATTTAGAAAGGAAAGAGAGGAGACGCTACATAGAAACCCTATAAAACTTTACCTTATTCAATTCTGTTACTAATATTTAAAACTCAATGCACTTAATCTTCCTTATCAACAATGTTTAATAATCCCAGTGAAGATATATTTTTATAAATACAGTTTTTTAAACTTCTATAATCCTAAACTAAGATGAAAAATTAGGAAGGTAGCATCTCCCAAAGTGAAATGTTTTACTACAAAGAGAAAAAATCAATAGTGTGGATTCAAGAATCCCTACAACCAACAACCAGTCACTCAAAAGGGTAGATGTAAACCATGCCCAACTCAAAACAACACATGCACCCCTTTCTGGGTCAAGTAAAGCCATCAAATTACATAACACAAGAGTAAATACTACAAGTAGGATGTTTTGATTACCAAATTACTCTTCCCAAATTAAGACTTCAATAAAGTCATTTAAAATTATATGCAGGAAAATCAAACTCAGAAAACTAGACAGAAAAACAAAACTTGTTTAACCTCAAAAATCATGCCCCAAAATTGAGAAGTCAACCTTATATTTAGTTCACACAATGCCAATCAAACTACAGACTGTCTCTCAAATGTGGGACTTTACCGTGAAACAAAGTCCTATTTGTCCTATTCTTTATGAAGATATATTGAAGTTACTTTAATCCATAGTTTGGATGATTAAAAGATCACCTAAGAACCAAGCAAAAAAGAAATTTAAAACAGATTCAGTAATTCTGCAGATAAGGATCCAACAATTGCAATTGCTGGCTATTATCGAAAGCAATCTTTTAGCCGGGCAGGGAGGTACGGCCTATAACCTCAGCACTCTGAGAGATTGAGGGAAGAGGACTACAAGTTTGAGTTCAATGTAGGCAATTTTGTGACTCAGTGAATGCTGTTATAAGACAAAACAAAAGAGCTGGGAATGTAGCTAGGCAAAGGCCCTGGGTTTAAGCCCAGTACCACCCAAATTTAAAAAAAAAAAAAAAAAAATCTTGTAGGTAAGCTTTATAAAGCAACAGGTTATATTACAGAGATGACAAATATACAACCACCTAATAAAACCAACCACCTAGATATTAAATGAATAGATCCTTCTAACACCCAATGACTTCACTATAAATAAATGCAGTTAAGTACATTATTTCAACAATGTAAAAGAAAACGAAGATGGTTTCTGGACTAGAAAACTGTAATGAAACTCAAAAAGTGAGTTAATAATCTCACGATGCAGTCATGACATCAAAAGGCATGTATCTATGTATATATTCTGTAAGTGCTACGAGTGGAGAAAGGAAAAAGTATTTTACATTAGGATATCTATTCATCAGGTATGTACAGTAAATATCTTCTAGGAAAAATATAAAACTAAGCTTTTGGCAGACATGGCCCAGGCTAAATGCCTATAACCCAGTTAATGAAAACTGTGATTAACACCACTGACCAGTGACTTTTTAATGAAAAAGTTTCATTCTTTTCCAACTCCAATTTATTTTTTGATGATTTTGCTCAAAGCTAAACTATTCTTCTAATTTAAATATTTATAATTACCAATAGGAATAAAACAAATAAAAAGTGAAATTACCAAGTATTATAACAGGAAATCTTGAAAAAAGAGATCTTAGTGACACTGTCTTCCACCAAGACAAGATGAGGAATTTTACCTTATGACTTAATGCTTACATTTGAAATATAAGTATCAACTCAGCTTACAGAAGTCTCAATGACAAAGAGAGGATCTTCCCAAAACAAGAGCTTCTGATGACTTCAACCAGCTAAAGTGGTACACAGGTTAGTGGCCAGCTTCTATTTATTGGCCACTCTGGTCCTCCATGATCACACTGCGTTCTGCCTTTGTCCCCAGGTTTCCCATCAGACTCCCCAGACAGAGAGAGCTTTGCCAAGATCAGTGACATTCATAAACGCCTTAAGAGTCCAGCTGACTGGATTCTTTCTTCCATCTTGGTGCTTCTGACACTCATGTTTTCAGCTCGGTCTCACTGGGGTGAATAGATGAATGTGGTTCCAGGAACTTCCTCCCCCTCTCAGGGCTGCCTCTGAGCTATGCTCAGGCAGAGTGCGCTACGAGAGCCACCGTGGTGGGAGGAATCAAGTAAGCTCTCCCTTAAACAGTATGAGCAACACAGACACGGCCAGGACACATGTCCGGGAGCTGCCAGGGCAAAGAGCCAGCAGCAGTGCCAGCACCTTCTCCCACAGGCTGATGACACACAATTCTTGGCCATGGTTTTAAGCACTGAGCTGAATACAAGATTCATTTCCCATCCAAATAATCCCTCTGGAAATATTTATTGATATTAAACCCAAAAATGTTTTAATTTAGCTTGTGTACACAGGAAAAAAAAAACCTGTCAAGACATTATTTTAAAGACACTAATTATAAAATAATCGGGAACATTTCATTGCTTATCTTTGGACTATAAGAAGCTCCACTAAAGTAACACTTCTCAGCTCCAAAAAATAATCACCCTTTCCTAAAACCTATCTTTAGGCCTCTAGAATTTCTTATATCATGGTACCCCATATAGAAGCCCAACCTCTAAGAGCTTGGATTGCACCTTCTTTTTACTTATAGATAATAACAGTACACTGAGAGTGGCACCACTGTCGGACACATAATTTTCTCTTGAAAATTAATCTTCAGTTGAGAGCCTGGAGGTCTTGATATTACAAGAAAATCAAATCTATACTGATAGGATTCTACAACTTGAGTTCACACAACTGAGCACAGTAAAATACTTAAAAATATTTTAACTTTAAAGGCTTTAATAAACAATTTCTAAAAAGTCTCATTATAAAAACAGTAAACATACTGATAAATTATATCTTAATGCTTACAACTTTCAGTTTCTGATACTTATACTGCCCTTAGCATACCACACAACTTTACAGTCTGCTATTACTAAACAAAACTCTCTGTGAAATTAAATTGTTACAGAAGCTACAAGAAAATGTAAAATTATGAATATTCACCTGATTTGGCATGTTTTCCTTCACACGTGTCCAAGATCCACCTTTATACAAATACTGAGCAGGGCTCAGAAATTTTGCTTTATATTCAGAATTCACGTTCCTAACAAAGACAAAATGAAAATAAGTATCTTGCTTTGTTGACTATCTAAATACTACATTCTTCTAAATAAAATACATACCCAAGCTTTTGATGTCTCCAAGGAGTGAGCTTCTTTTTAGGCTCGTTTGAATCTTTTGGTGCCATCTCTGCTTCTAATTTTAAAGGGTCATCCATTTTATTACACTAAAATAGAAGTGATTTAAGTGTTTATGCTTAAAGCATGTTATAGATTAACACAAAAAACAAAGATGCTATAAAGCTGAATATTAATTACATCTGTGTCTTTAGAAGTATGTTTTATAATCCCACACTAAAGGAGATGGAGGTAGGAGGATCATAAAAGTTCAGATCCCACTGGGCAACTCGGTAAGATTTTGTCTCAAAACAATAAAAATGAAAAGGTCTAGGGATGTAAGCAGGTAACTCAGTGGTAGAATACCCAAGTATCACCAAAAAGATTAAGTTTTAACTAACAAAGATCTCAGAAATCAATAAGCAGGTTATAAAAGTTGTTTATACTTTTCTTTTATGTTTTTGTGTTGTGCGGTACTGAGGACTGAACCCAGGCCCTTTGCACCAAGCCACATCCCTAACTATCTTTCCATGTTATTTTGAAACAAGGTCTCAGTGAAGTGCCCATACTGGGCTCTAACTTGTGATCTTCTTGCCTCAGCCTCCCAGAGTGCTAAGATTACAGCTGTGTGCTCCACGCCAACCTGGCTAGTTTGTTTTTTGAAGGTCAAGATACAGTTTCATTTTCCAATAATAAAAATCTAGATTCTAATGGAAGGCAATTCAAAGACTAACAAGTACTAATTTAAATAAACTTATCTCATGTTGAACGCCATTTTAAATTCACCCTTGATGTGCTTAAGATTTTTTTTTTTTTTTTGAGGCAAGGTCTCACCATGCAGTTCAGGCTGCCCTTGTAGCCAAGGCCAGCTTCACACTCCAGCAATCTTCTTGCCTTAGTCTCCCGAGTACAGGGATTACAGGCCTGCCCTACCACACCCAGCTCATTCAAACATTGTAATTAAATGTAAGGTTCTGCTGAATAAGCTACCACAACATTTTACCAACGTAACACTTTTTCTTCCCCAAGAATGTCAATGGTTTCCCCCCAAAAAGTCCAAATACACACACACATATGTTAAACTGCTTACTTATGCGAATTTAATGCCAGTATAATTCACACAATTTACTTCAGTGTATACAAACAACTGATTCTTTGTGTGGCTACAATTTTACTTTTAGTTATATACTTTCTATTTTTAGGAAACATCAAGTATCAACATTACAGGAAATTCAAAAAATAGTATTTAAACTTCATTTTCCTATAATTTACAATGATATTTAGCCTGATGCCATAACTTAAAAGGGGCTACACAATGAAACAGCTATTTGTATACACTGAAGTGATTACTGTATGTGAAGAATACTGGCATTAAACTGGCATGCTTAAGTAATTATATACATATTTCTATTACTTAACTTACTGTATGTGTTTCTATTATTCCTGTTAACTCTGGGACTTACATTGCTATAAGGCCAATCATTTGATATTAAACAAAATAGACTAACATAGTGTACTGCTAAGTATCCATCACACTATTATTTTAAACCCATCTCTCCACTAACTTAAGAGCTCTTTGGGGTTTGTGTGTTACTCCTATTTTCTAAGCATCAAACCAGTGCCGGGCTCCAACAACATCCTCAATGAACATCTGACATTTGATGAACAAACAGATGAACTAATGAGTTAGCAAAAAACAAGTTTGGGTGAAAGAAAATTCAAGAATCTAAAATAATGGATAATTTGGTTTTTTGTTTAAAGGTTAAAAGTTGGTGAATACCTTTTCAGGAGATAGCGTTTCAAGATTCCCGTTGTCTTTCAAATCCTTTCTCAATTTTGGTTCCTTCACTGGAGATAAACCCTTGAAATTTCTTTTGTACTCGGTTTCGTGGATGACTGAGTTACCTTTGAATTGTGGAATAAATTTGCTTTTATTGTGGAAAACCTTAAAATAAAAATTAGTTTAGTTTAGTTCTTTTGTTTGTTAAGTAATACAGAACTTAGGTCTTCAATTGGTTTTATTATATATGTATTTGACAGGACACAAAAAAGCAAAATTATATTTGATTCTAACTTCATTTTACATGTCTAATTAATACCCAAATGTCACCTTTCTATAGCCATTGCTGTGTTTTGAAAGAATAATAGAAATCAAATAATTCTTAAGCTAAAGTAAGTAATAAATCATACCTATGTTTGACCTTTTCTCCTCAGTTTCCTATCTGTCTCCTATAGGTTAAGTACAATAGGTACATGTGGACATGTAGTAGGTACAATATGGACACAGACATTAACATCATTAAGGCAACTCTTTTTAATAGGTCTTTTTGCTTTCTACAGGGCTTTTTGCTTCTTAACATGAATTTTCTTCCTCCCTGAAACAACGTAAAATTAAATATAAAATTATTATTATTTTATACCTAGTATGTTCAATCTAGTTGGGTTTTGGGTTGATTTGGTTTGGGTTTTTTGTTTGTTTGTTTGGTGGGGGTGGTTATCATCATTGTTGTTTTTACTTTTTCCTTTGCTTATTTTAGCTTTTTCATTCAGTCAGGGAAAAAGTAGAGGTGAGTATTGTTTCTCTTTTTAAACGTTTCCTTCTACCCTTAATATTTTACAGTATCATTTCTATCTTATATATATTATCCCTGATCACAAAGAAAGTAAATGGGAAATACGGGGAGCTTAGGTAAGTTACATGGTCCTGGGGCTTTGTCATGCTGTGTGGCCTATCTCCATACAGATCCAATTCAACAGGATACCCATTAGTTTTATATAACTCCAAGAACTTCCCAATCAAAAACTGTTCTGACTCCTTTACAAATTAATATAGGACAGCCTTTCAGAAAACAGGTGTCTAATGAAACTGAACAGCTCTGTTAAGGGCCCACCATGAACAAACTTTGAAAACTCATCATAGAGCTCTTCAATCCACATTAATGTTTTGAACTTACAAAAAGCCCAAAAGAAGTTCTTTGAGACCCTCACTGTTAAAATCAATAAAATTACTAGTGAAGACATTGCTAATGATTTATTTTACATTGTATTTCTAATTCTATAAAAATAACATTTCTACACAATGCTTTCACTGACATGTAAAAATTTGTTAATAGGGCTTTTTTTTGAATCAGCTCTATCTCATAGGTCAAATCCTCTATAAAAACTGAACAATCAATTTTCAGGTCATAATTTTTTTAGGAATATTTACAATCCAAGAACAACTGTGAGCAAGCAAAAGTCCTTTTCTCTAGGCTAATGATATACCATTTTCTATTAATTATATGTTCCTAAAATGTTATATCAGCTTCAGTAACAAACCCAAACTGCTACAATTTATATGATCCCTGGTGTTATTATCTTAGTGTAAGATGATTCATGCTAATTATCCTCTCAGTTTTTAGGGATATATAATGTACACACGTGAATGATGAAGTATAAGAGAAAATGGGGATATGGGGAGCTGTGTGTATATAAAGAAAAATACGAAGACCAAAAGCAAAGACTTTGCTGTCATGGGACTCTAGGGATATTAAAAGTGGAGGTATTTCCCACCAAGGTCTGAAGGCACTATATGATTAAAAACACAGCTGAGATTTCAAAGTCTAAAATCTTTCTAAAGGATGGTAATAGTAAAACAGAATGTTTCTTAGAAATGGCACTTCAAAATTAAAATTGTACAAGAGTATAATGAAATCCAGTAGCACATTTAGTTATTACTATAGTTTTTCAGATCCATAAGTATAGTTAAAATGCCAGTTCCTATTATCATATACTCAATACAATGACTAACTTACATTTCTCATATTACTTTCAATATATGTTGTATTTAAACATTCAATATAGGTATGCCTTCTTAAAAGAAACACGAAAAACATTAGTAAACTAAACACAGTATCACAGAAAAACCCAACTGAATATTAATTTAAAAATAAAAAAGATCTGGCATGCAAAAACTTACCAGTTTCCCAAGTTTTCATTACCCTGTCTCATATTTAGTGTATGTGATGGATCTGGCAACAATGATCATCAGTAGCCTAGGACAGTATAATATTACTCCTATAAATCATAAGTAATAGGTGATTTTAGCAAAACTCTCATTCTGTTTTCTAGAAACTATCTCCAGGTCTACTTATTAGCAAATGGTTTTTAGGTGTCACATCTGTGTATCTATACATCACTAGATTGGACGATGATACTCAGAAATATATTACATCCCTTCAGCTACCTGACTGGCTCCAAGCACTGGCGCTGTTTCTTTAGAAGTCTTCCAGACGAACTGCCTTTGATACTCAGAATTTCTCAAGGGACTATGTGAAGGAACAACAGTCAATCCAGCTTTCTTACGCAGAAATCTGTCCAACAACTGTTAGGAAAAGAAAAATCCAGTCAAAACCTCAAAAAAACCTACTCAAACTCTGAATTGTGCTAAAAAAATATATAACATGAAAGTTCTTTTAACAAATTTTAAGTAGATTTGCAGTACTGCTAAGTATATGCACACTGTTGTGCAACAAACCCTTTTCAACTTTACATAATCCCTTTTTATACAAACTATTTAAGATTCCTTTCATAATACTATCAAGGTTATACATCCCAGAAAAGACATTTCTCAGTCCTTTTCTATCAGTCATTAATAAATAAATGTATTACCAAAAAACCCACAGTACCTTGCCTTACCCACACATTGCTTCTCTGGACACCCCTCCCCCTCCCCCTACCCCACAGACTCACATATCTCACTGTATTCCCCTACACCCCCCGGGTTTCTCAACAAGCCACAGATTCCCCACCAGCACTCCCAAATGCCTCTCCAGGGCTCCAGTGGTGGAAGTGAAATGGGGAAGCAGCAGTGGACTAAAAAAGAAACGTAGGCGGGAGTAAGATCCACACACAGATCCAGCAGCCTCTGCTTATGTGCTGACACAGTCCTGCCCCAGGCCAGCTATGACATAAGAGAGCAGAAATGCAAGATCTTTGAAAGCCACCAGAACTCTCCTCCTGTCAACTGAGATTGTTTGTTTTCCCACTGGTATACAATAAGTTGAAAAAGGAGATAGCTAGAAGCATCCCTGCCAGAGGCAATGGCCTACTCCCCTTCTCTGTCTCAACCTGATCTGTCCCTTAGGATTCAGGCGCTGATCTATGATGAAGAAAATCCAGAGGCAGGCTATCCACCCAATGAAGATATATCTTAGCATAACCAGTACAAAATGTCAAGTGTACAGAATAGAACCGCTCTCAATAATCAAAGTCAACACCTCTTATCAACTATACAACAGACAGAAAAATAACAATAGAAAAGCTGAAACACAAAATATAATATTCCTGAAATGATGAAACCAATAAAGAATTCTATGCTTTTGAAATCAAAACAACAGTTCGGATTGTGCCTACCCCATTATCTACATGTTCTGGAAGCAGGTTGGTAGAATGTTCCTGGTCCACATTTTCATTAACCAGTATGTGGTTTGTTGCTACATCCTCATGCTTTTCCACAGCATCTGGAGTGCCTTCAGCTCTGGAGTCTGCAGAATGAGATCTGCCTCTCTTAGGAAACGTGGAGGCCTCTAGTGAAAGAACTTTTTCTTGGTTAACGTCTTCTTGCTCTGCCTCTGATTTTGGTGTTTCTGGGACTTCAGGTTCTGGTGATACAACCACATCATTCTCTGAGAGAGCTCCATTCCACTTGAGAGATTTTGAAATCTGTGGGTCGTGGTAAGGGACTCTTCGTTTTGAAATAAAACCTGGCTCTTTTGTGATCCCTACAAAACACAGTACATAAAAAAAGAAGCTAGCAAAGCATGAAGTTACAAAGATAACTTCTAATAATCTATGAAAGTTTAAATGAAATTTAAAACTCAGTTGATACAACACAACTTTCTTCGGATTACAAAATAAAAAACAGCTTTTCAACATAAAATACATACTTTTGCTTTAAAGAAGTATTAAAACTTTAATTATAACAAAAAATTAAAAATTAGGGTCACAGTGTCCAAGTTATCCTCACACAAGTCACTTGGATTGCAACACGACGGCCCTGGCAAGCCGGGCAGTCCACACTGCCTCCGCTTCTAATTACTTTCCTGTACTACTTAACAGAACAAAGGGCCCTGGTCTGTCAAAATTTGGAACTTTTCACAAAGCTTCTCTTGTGTAGAGGAGACCAAGATGAGAAGGGATGAGATGTCATTATGCTGGATCTTGGTTCTACTTTTGCCTTGACTTCCTGAGAATTAAAAAGAATGAAGCCTTTTAACAAAAGCTGAGGTACAATTCCTCTATATTTCTATCTGGCAAGCAAATATCCAAAAAGTTAACCTTCTACTGAGGTAAAAATGAGCTCTGCAAATGATAGCCACTATGATACTGTCCTAGTTTGTAGCTATTCTTTAAATAGAAGACGACTGCAGGGTGGGAAAGGAAGATTTAAGAACAGAATACAAGGAAATGGAAGGTAGACAAAAAAATACAGCATGAAGCAAAACCCTGCACGTCTCAGCCTCTCTCCTGGATGCCTTGGCATTGAACCCAGGGTTCCTATCTGTACAGGCTTCCCTCTAACAGTGGTCTTCAAACGCGTGTATCTACGCCTGAATTAAGGAAAACATGCAGGGGGAAACAGATCCAAGACGCCACGGGTATTCTTGCTTGACATTGACCTGTCTGCCTGACAGCTGCATGTGCCATCTGCAGTTCCATTTCCCATCATCCCTTTCACAGTCATCATACTCCCAAGACAGATACCTTTCAACCACAGCCCCCCACCCACCCGACACATCACTGCAACATGTAACCAAGTCTCCAGAGTGAGGACACAAACAAAGGGATGACTCAAGGAAGCATTATTCCCGAGGAAGAATATCTTAACAGGAAAGCAAAGGCAGTGACTAGAAAATATAAAAGAACAGCATCTCATACAATTCTGGGTCTTTTCCATCTACATATCTTAGAACTGAAGTTCATTGTGAAATTCACATATGCATATTAATTTTGAATGGAAAGATTAAGACTTTTTCTCACATAAAAATACTAACTGGTTGCTCAGTTTGCCAATGAGAAGTGAGTTTCCCAATTATCAGTGAATGTATCCCATAAATTAAATGGCTAAACTGATTGAGCTAAAACACATCCTTTGAAATTATGTGTAAAATCTTAGAATAAAAAAATTAATTGAAATACGTAAGTGGGACAAAAGATTTTCTAAAGTCCTTAAGAAATATGAAAGCAAAAAATGGTTAGAGGCCACTGCTTTAGACTTCTCCATTTTAACAAAGAGTTAGGATTTGGGTGGACGTGCAAAATGCAAGATTTTAGGCATGATTCTCAAGGGGCTGGCCCTATGTCTCCTAGCATCAACAAATCCTTGTGAGGAAAAAAATATACTATATTAAGAGAATGGATGTACAGCCAGCCCTAGGTAAAACTGCTGTTGCTCTGTGCTAACCTTCGACCTATCTCTCAGCATCCAGGAGTTCTCAATGCACTCCTCACCCTTATCTAAATTTCCCACAGACATTCCTTCCCCACTGTTCTTCCTTCAAAACATACAGTACTCCAGTGTGGCTTCACTCCATCACTTTTCCTTCATGTAGCTGACCTAAGCTAAAGGCTATGGGGGCAACTCTGTGGTTACCTAATTGTCCAGCATCCTCATATCCCTCTCTCTAAGCCTTCAGTGGGACAGCTACACTTTAAGTAAGACTGATTTTGCATTCTTAACCTAATGGTTCCTCAAATGCATGAAATTTCTGGTTGCATGAAAACAGGATTATGAGCACAAGATCTTAGCCCACTGCCTGGGTAGCAGGGATACTCCGTTTCCAAAGTCAGGCCTTGACATAAACATCTTGATGCTTCAGAGGGACCTGCTCTCACCCATTCTTTGTTCAGCAAACCTAATCCTAAAAACTCTTATTCTATTAATTTCCCAGCTTGGCACCCAATCCTGGCTTTAATTATTGATCCTAGGAGGGCTCTCCATACCACATGTCAGTCATTCTCACACATCACCCACGGTGCACACAGCATAGACCTGTGTATATGTACCAGGCCCAAAAGCAGCCTCACATTTAGTCCCCTTAGCAATCCTGTAAAAACCCCACTTCTAAAAACAGGCTTACTTTGCCCAAGGTCATACAGCTACTATGGATTCAAACTTAGGTTGATTCATTCATTTAAAACTTAGACCAAGAGCAAGAATGGGGAGAGAGGGAGGGATGAAATGGTGGTAAAAAAGAACTAAGATGTGTTATGTTATGTACCAACTCCCCATGAAGAAGGTAATCACTATGTACTGCAATCTTTAATAAAGATTTAAAAACTAAAAGTTTTAATAAGCAGTAGAGTATTCCAATATTCTAAGTTAAATACTGAGAAGGATCAAAGAAATAAAAACCTGCTTTCAGAGATCTTATAATCTAGTGAGGAAGAAATTTTAAACTAGCAAGTACAATAAAATCACTCTATCTCTGTTCTATTATTTTCTGGGAAATAGGCTCTAAACAAGACAGACTTGATTTCAAATCATACCCCTGCCACTTACTGTGAACCTGGGCAAGCTACATCATCCACCTAAGCTTCCATTCCTCAAGACTTTAGGGACCTCTTTCTCAGGCTTGTCACTTCCTTCTCAGTTTTCAGGTCTCAGGACAAATGTCACCTCCTCATAAGAGCCTTTCTTGGCCACTGAATCTAAAGTGTATTCCTTCTAACCCACTACTCCTTCATGTTACCTATCACATTCTTCTATTTACACACAACCTGAAATTTCATTTATTTACTATATTACATGCTTATTGTCTCCACAGTTCTGGCGCTTTATCTGGTTCAGGATTATATCCCTAGAGCTGGGAAACTGGGGCCATAGTAAATTCACAATATTTATTAAACAAAGGAATGTGTTGAATAGGCCAACTGGACCTGGAATAAATCACTTTGCAAACTTAGTCCACTTATATTCAAGTTATAATCCCTATTAGTTTGCTCAACTTACCTAATTGATCTGATCTAAGTCCAGCCCACGGGTACTTTCTCTCCACTGAGGAATTGCAGGACTCTGACAAATAAGACTTTTTCCACAGAAAGTTTCTCTGGTATTCACTCAGCCCCTGCAATGCAAAGTACAGTTTGAGAATACTGCAATTAATAAACTTGTTATAAAGCAGTCATCAGTAAAAATAACTTCTGAACTTCCAAAGGCAGTTGAACCTGATAATTAAACAGATAACAAGCTCCTTCACAATAGCTAGTATTTACGCAGCTCTGTGCTAAGAGGCTTGCCTGTTATACCCTTTAATCCTCACAACCATAGGTCTAAGATTCCAAAGTGTGAGCCTCTTGTGACAACAGAAATCTACTAAAGATTTTTCCTAAGTTCCCACCGAGTACGCTATATTGTTATGCATAGCACCTTTTAATATTTAAATAGTCAATCTAAACTCCTCTCCCACTGTAGGCATAACTAGGATTTGAGGAACGCTGTGGCCACCTGTTACAATGAAGGCTGGAAGTCTCTGGCAGCTACAGAGTACTACTCTTTCTAAGAACTTATTTCTCATGACTTTAAAGGGTACACAGGCTTTAAAGTATTAAAAGAGAGACGAAATAAATACTAAACTGCGAGATGGGACACAGATGTCGCCTTTCATCCCCATTATAAAGTGCTTTCCTCCCAGCTTTTCTCCTGAGTCCCCCAAAATAAATGTCTCAATACCACCTAACGCATCCACAACCATTGCCGAGCAACTCGGCAATGCGAGGGTGCGGAGAGGAGCCAGGCAGGAGGACTAGCATCCCCAGGGCCTCGGCAGGGGGAGCAGCACCACCAGGGCCTCTGCAAGAGCTCGGGGCTGCCACAGGAACCCACGCGGCCCCGCGCCCCGCGCCCCGCACCCTGCACCCGCCCCTGGCGCCACTCCTCCCCCGATGCCCTCGGGCTCCGAAACCCCAGCTTCACCTTGAAGCGCACCGGCATGTCTCCTGGTGCTGGCACCCCCCGCCACCGCGACAGTTAACGGGACAAAAAGCCCAGAGGGGGCGGGGCGACAACAGTCAGTTCCCTAGGAAGAGCCTGGGCCTAGCGTCCCCAACTACGCGCCTGCGTACTCCGCGCCCCTGGCTTTGAGCCCTGTCACTCTACTTTTCCCCGCCTATTTTGAAGCCTGAGGACCAATAGACACTCATATACTCTCTTGCTGTCGTTATGACTCGACCAATCAGTGCCCACAACAACTCCAGGAGGCTAATAGAGATGGCGGGCGGAATGCTGGCCAATGAGGCTCCTGGACGCTGCATGGGTGGAGGCCCGCGGGAGCTTCGTCTTGCTAGGATCTAAGTGTCCTGAATCCCTACTGCGCAACAATGGGCCTGCGTGCTGGTGGGGTTCGGATGGGTCCTACCTCGTTGGGCCTAGGTTTTTGACATCATAAAGCATGGAAGTGTTTTCTGCATTCCAAAAAGTATGACAGAACCGAATGTTTATTTTTTCGAAAGCCTTTGGGTCTGTTTGGCTGAAAATCAGTTCCTGGAGCCGACACCACTTGACACTATTGTCAAATCAAAAGAGAGAATGTCGAAAAATAGATATAACTTGTTAGAATATATTTTATTGAAACGCGAAAGAAAAACTGCTACCGCCAGAAATGTTTATCTACCTACTCCATACCCTTTGGCCCAAAAAAGATATACACAGCGCTTAGATTAGAAAACATTTATTTTGAGTGTCTGTGAGTCTCAGCTTCTAAACTTTCAGCCTTGTACCCCACCACCACCACCGTTTTTTAAAATGAAATTATATCTGATTTTAATGGACTATAACCATCAACAAATATTATTGGTAGAACATTTTGCTGTCTCAGGATTAAGAAGTTACCCAGTCATCTAATACACTTGAAAAGGATGTGCATGTGTTCATTCAATGATAATATAATGCAATATGAACTTGATTTCCAGTTGAGAATTGTAAATGAAAAGAGCTACAGGAGTTTGGAATAGAGTCATCCCAGAGAGTGGAGAGGATTACAAAAGGGTCAGGAGAAAATACTCAGACTCGGCCTTGAAGTCTAAAAGGGCTACAAAACTAAAGAGGGAATGGGATGATCAGATGATGGATGCCTGGTTGGAATGCTGCCAGGCATCTTTCAGGAACAATGACTATAGTGCCTTGAACGTTTGTCATCTGTTCACTGATAAAAGTATACCTCCTTACAATGTTCAAATATTAGACCAACCCTTGATGTTCCTCTTTAGGCATTTTCTGCAAAAGCTTGTCTTCCTGATTCCTAATGATGTCTCTGTTCTTCATCACTTAAAAATTCATTTGACACCTGATATGTGAAACAAAGAGAATATTAAATTAGTCCCCATGCAGCCATGCATCCAGGGAGCCCTCGATTAATGTTAATTAGTGATGACAGCATCTCTGTTTGTAAATTAAGAATGGCGCAAACAAGACACAGTGGAGCATAAAACAAAAGTCCTTTGCAGGAAGGCAGCCTAGATCTTACAGGGTAGGAAAGACATTGGTCTGGTTGTACACACAGCTTCATTTACTACGTAATGCTAAGCGAAAATCAGCAAAAGCAAGCATATAGAATGTAGCCTGTTTGCTAAACAAGGATAATGATAAGCACAGTAGAGCTCTGCTGAGCAGGAACAGATGATAGAAAAACCAATGACAGGTGGTAAATATAATCTCTAGGTTTGCTAGAGATGCATTATAAGGATCAAGGAAGAAGAGAATTTCACTTGGTGATTGGTAGGCAAAACCTACCCCTCACCTGTTAGGCAAAGGTACAGAATGAAAAAAGACACAACCTCGGTAGATAAGTTTTGTGTGTTTGCCTGAGTTTCACCAGGTCCTTTCTCCTCTGCTACTATATAAACAGACTCAGTGCCCTTCAAAGTTCCACTCCAGAGTTTTTCAGGAGTCCCTTGGAGATGTTTCCCAGGTGCTTATGACTGCAGCATGCAGTGTGCCCAGCAACACTGCCCTTGCTTCAATAGCCACACATCTGTAGGTGTCACTGTTGCTGCTGGTCATTAGCTCAGTGCTGAGTCTCCACTGAGCAGAGCTGCTCTTCACACTGTCCAACAGTAGGGCAGGTAATCCAGAAAGTGCCTGCCTCCCCTTTTATGTGGTCCTCTTTGAAGTGAGGAGCAAAGCATTTTATAGAGCTTTTTTCCATGTTTGCTATAGCTTTCCTTATCTCTTAAGGGCTCAAAATGAGGTCTATGGAGCCTAGGCCAGTAAGTGTCTCCACAAATGACAGATTTTACACTATGTGCCTGTCTTCCCCTGGAAGGGGTCTTACAGGGACTGACTCTCTTCCTTCTGTTGATTTCTCAGATTGCTGGCTACTGCTTGTAGGAGACTAAATTAGCACAACTAATCTCAAGAAGGGCAACTTGGCAATCTTTTTAAACCAGTAAAAGTTTTATAAATTTATCTTACAGACTCATATTTGTTAAAAGATATTTGTTTAAGATTATTTAATACATTGCTTGTAGTCACATAAGGTAGAAAATAACCTATCTGTCCATCTAGAGGGGATTAAGTAAATTATGGCTCATTCAATGCCCAGAGAAGAACAGGCTGTGCCGCAGATCCAGAGGACAGTATGAGCTGCTCTCCTTTGAGGCCCTTCTAATCAGCAACCCCAGGTGGGCTGGGCCCCCTTAACATACTCTATCTGTACAGGGCTAACCAGAGAAACAGAAACTACCTAGACACCCCACAAAGAGAACTTACAAGCTATTGTTACCACAAAACTTTAAAAAACTGAAAAGAGAAAGAGGGGCTGATAAGTTCAGAAGGCATCTACCCCGAAACTGAGGTTACCACAAGGCAGGGGCTCATGGGAGAGGCCTTATGGGCTGGGCTGGACCTCAGAGAAAGGATCACTACGCAGCTGCTGTTCACTTTGAACAAAATAAGACTGCTTCCTGAAGGCCAAATGCTGGTAACAGGGGAAAGGAAAGTTGGAGGCTAGATCAGCTCCGGGGTAAAACGCCACAGTTTAGGTTCTACAGAGTGGAACAGGAGTGAAAGAGAACATCCCAGTCCCTCGGTAGCAAACCTGACAGGGATCTGGCCTTGTGGTTTGCAGTCTGAAGGCTGAGACAGGAACCGAAAATCAACAGCTTGGTAACTTGCACACACATACAACCCTTGAAGAGAAAGAGGACTCGTATGAGCTGATGAAGACACAAAGGAAAACAAGGGTAGGGGGTACATGTAGCAGATCATCAGCTGGGGAAAAAAATGAAGAAAAGAAAAAACTGTCATATGGTATCCTATCATGGCATCATTCACAGGCGCTTTTACCCTCACTCATGAATCTGACTCCATTAACAGAAGCTATAAAGATGAAGAGCATTTTATTCAGCTTACTTCTAGGGACATGAAATTTTGTTTAAGGTTTTGTTTGTTACCTTTAAGGCCTTTCTTAAGCAAGATAACTCCTTCCACTGGTCCTTTCTAGATCCATCTTGCTTGACAAACATCACAACAAATCTGTTGTGTCTTTTAAAGACAAAAACAGAAACAAAAATTCTTTAAATAAACTTTTATTTGATCTGGAATTATAAATATACTCATCCATTACTCGTTCGGTTAAAAACAGGAAGTGGATGGCTCTAAATCTAAGTCTCATTTTCTTGGTAGCTACTGAAACCCTAGAGCATCTGCATTTGCCTCTCACTATATTTTTATTTAACAACTAAAAAATTGTGTATGAGACAAATACTTTGAGATGAGGGTTACAGAAAGGAGATAATAAAGGTAAGACATGTCCCCTGTATTCAAAGATGGTTCCAATCTGAAGGGGGAAAAACGCATGCGCAAACTCAGGAACTGCGAACAGAGGAGGGAGCAAAGCAGAGGCTACATGTGAGCGCCTGGATATTGTAAGGGTGCTTTTAAATCTACTGTCAGAAAGCTCTATTCAAGATGGACTAAAGGCTAAGCAGGATGAAGTTGCTGCTTTTAAAATCCCATCCTGGGGAATACCTGATCTAGGGCATTTCACTTTCTCTTTGTTGCACCCCAGGGAACTGAATTGAGGCCAGACCTTCGGAGGGAAGTTCAACTAATATTTGCTCCAGATCAGTTCTCAAAAAGCAAACTGCATACTGTCAGTTTTGTCTCTATCTCTGTCTCTGTCTCTGTCTGCCTGTCTCTGGTTTATTTTATTAATGCTTTCACGAGTCAGAGTAAAGCTGCTTTAGAAACAACCGTTTTAGCAACAGAATGATAACAGCTGCTTTGTGTTTTCAAGTATTTTCTCTGAAATAAAAGGAAACTGAAACCCAGTTTCCAGGCCTCCAGTTTTTTAATTCTGTAATATTCTCTCCAACGACAACTGGGTTTCATTGGTAAATCTTGGGCTCAGACTTTGCCAAAAACTAATCGAACAACCACTTTCATTTGCCTTTTCCCATAGGTACTAAGCCATTTTTTCTCATACAAATGGATTTCTGATTGCATAATCCAAAAAAATGCAATTAAATCATTGTATCCTCTCTCAGAAGGAAAACTGCTGATACTTCACATTAATGTCAGTAAAAATCAAATAAATAACGTCTGTGATCTTACCAATGATTCAAGTGTAATTTGTACTCCAGACTTTTAGTCATAGGATAGCTTTGTTGACAAGGGAGTATCTCTGGCTTTTGAATCAGTGGGGCACCTTTGGAAGAGCTTTGGAGGGACTCCAGGTTCTCTTGACAACAAGAACTTTTTTCCTTTGGTGAACCAGAGAGACTCCACACCATACAAGGCCATGCTGAGCAAAGTAATTCTTAGTAAGACATAAACCACTGCAAGCCTTACATACCATAATAATGCTGCTGCGCCTAAGCTAAATAAGACGCAGGGAACGAAATTTAAGGGCACAAAATTCCTTTCATTGTAATGCCTGCACGGTTGATTGTGCTACCTAAGAATTGCCTTCCCTTTTCTTTGCTGATTTTTCATTGTTTTAAATCATCATCCTTTACAAAGCACCCACAGAAACATAGATTTTTCTAGAACTGCTAACTGTAGGTTTAGAAATATTCATTCTCTGAACCACATAAAATCAAATGACAGATTTTGTGGTCAGATCAGAGGATGATGGCCAACAGCTTTCTTAAGAACCTTATAAAACTCTACCCTTACACCAAAATAAATTTTGAAATATTTCTTTGCCATGTAGTTAACACATATGCATCTTAATAACTGCACATCAAGACCAGATAATGGTCATTTTTCTGTGTGAAATCACTGTTCTTTCCTTCAGTAAACTCTGTC